GTTGTGGAAGCAAATACTATTCATAATTTTAAAACCAGGTATGATAGGGAAATGGGACAGGAGTCATTGCTGTAAACAACCGATGCTCGAAAGGCGGGATCCAAGAGTCAATGCTCGATCCTGCAAGCACATATAGGTGAGTACATATAGGTGAGTACACACACACTTATCCCCACAATAATAATGAACGAATACACTAGAAAACATACAAAACAAACACCCAAGAACAGAATTATATGTACTCCCACCAAAAAACAAGGTTTTACCCAACAACAAAAGTATATACAACAGCAAAGAGCAAAGCAAAAAAAAAAAAAAACACAGATGAAAACTCGACAAACAAAAACACCCAAAAAAAAGAACACCCATAAACCCAAAAACCACCCACAAAACAAAGCCACACACACAAAACCAACCACAATACACAAGAGACCACACCGCAGCCAAACACGGCTGGTGCAGAGAGAGGGGCGAATTACCCCACCAACCATGGACTTAGCATCGTGTATATTAATGATCTACTGACATCAGCCCCACAATAATAATCAGAAGGCCCGCACCAGCCACATGGTATATCTACTACAGCGCCTGTCGTTGTAGCTAATTATGACCCTTACCCTACCGGCCAATAAGGATAATTTTTAATCCGAACAATTAGGGGGGGGGGGTTCTAAAGCCCCTTACAGACTCAGTATGTTATTTATTGTGTCAGTCGAGTGCAATAACTTATGTGATTGAATGTTCCTAGACAAATACCCTTATTAAAGAAATTACAAAACGTTGCCCCGGGTTTTAAAGGCTATAGTGGGCGTCCCACAGTACAACAAACAAGGAACGTATGTTAAATATTTTATTTTTTTCCCTTATCAGGCCCTGGTGCTAATGCTTTATCCACTCTCCTATTGTCTCCCCCCTCCACCCCTCTCTCTCTCTCCACCCCCACATCTGTCTTTCCTACCCACATCTGTCTGTATCATTTCTCACACCTGTCGTCCCTCACTTCTAGACCCCTCTCTCCCACTCTGTTATAAATAGACCTCCTCTCTACCTCTCTGCTATATAAATAGACCCTCTCTCCCTCTCTGCAATATAAATAGACCCTCTTTCTCCTTCTCTGCTATATAAATAGACCCCATCTCTCCCTCTCCGCTATATAAATAGACCCTCTCTCTCTCCCTTTCTGCTATATAAATAGACCCCCTCTCTCCCTCTCCGCTATATAAATAGACCCTCTCTCTCTCTGCTATATAAATACCCCCCTCCCAACCTTTCCCTAATATACAAGCCCCGCTATATCAGACACTCAATTCTTTCGGACCTTTCTATATCAGACTCGTATACAGACCCTGCCATTTCATACAGGTTCTCTCATACAGACACTGCCACATATCATACAGACGCCTTATACAGGCACTGCTTTCTCCGCAGAGACCTCGTATACAGACCCTGGCTTATATCATACACACCTGTTCATGTATACAGACCTTGGCATATATCATAAACACCTGCTCACGTACACAGACCTTGGCGTACCGTACAGATGCCCTTCGGTTATATATATATATATATATATATATATATATATATATATATATATATATATATATATATATATATATATATATATATATATATATTATATATATGTATATATATATATATATATATATATATATATATATATATATATATAAGCCTATACTTGCATAAACCACAAGTGAAGATAAACAATCTTTGGACAACACCCACCAGTGGGACTCGAACCCAGAAAGCACAACTACCTTCCAGTAGCTGGCATAACTAGTATGCTTTAACCCACTACGCCATCAGACCTTACAAAAGAAGTAGATAGTTCGAGATATATATATCTCAAACATCTCTACCTCCCGAAGGCACCAGATGAGTGAGGGGTCAGTCTGCAATTTTCGTCAAGCCACTGTCAATGTGAGAGAACTCGTGTCCAGCTTATAAGCCTATACTTGCATAAACCACAAGTGAAGATAAACAATCTTTGGACAACACCCACCAGTGGGACTCGAACCCAGAAAGCACAACTACCTTCCAGTAGCTGGCATAACTAGTAATTCATAACATAATTCTTTTTGTAAGGTCTGATGGCGTAGTGGGTTAAAGCATACTAGTTATGCCAGCTACTGGAAGGTAGTTGTGCTTTCTGGGTTCGAGTCCCACTGGTGGGTGTTGTCCAAAGATTGTTTATCTTCACTTGTGGTTTATGCAAGTATAGGCTTATAAGCTGGACACGAGTTCTCTCACATTGACAGTGGCTTGACGAAAATTGCAGACTGACCCCTCACTCATCTGGTGCCTTCGGGAGGTAGAGATGTTTGAGATATATATATCTCGAACTATCTACTTCTTTTGTAAGGTCTGATGGCGTAGTGGGTTAAAGCATACTAGTTATGCCAGCTACTGGAAGGTAGTTGTGCTTTCTGGGTTCGAGTCCCACTGGTGGGTGTTGTCCAAAGATTGTATATATATATATATATATATATATATATATATATATATATATATATATATGTATATATATATTATTACACTATTAGGTTAGGCTGTATCAGGTTAGGGTAGATGTGGTTAGGTTAGATAAGGGTAGATGTGGTTAGGTTAGATAAGGGTATGTTAGGTTAGGTTAGGCTTTAGTGGTATTAGATTAACTTAGGGCATGTAAGGTTAGGTTTGGTTTAATTTGGTTAAAACTATTTGAACAAATAGCGAAATAACAAAGATTTTTGTTTTTAATTTCGAAACGAAAATAGCACGTCGGTGAATCTGGAGAATGTGAATAATCCGTCCCACCGGTCGTCGTATCCACATAGATTTGTCGGTATAGCGACGACCTCGCTTCTTGCAGGGTCGGAGCTCGATTCCCTGTGGTCCCAGTAGTATAGGTACAATTCATTCCACTCCGTCCTCTTATGCCCTCATATCCGTTCGTAGGCGTTATAATGTCCTATTGGCTTCCAGTTTGCACCTATGAATTACCTTACTTGTCTCCGAGACGTCATCGTCGTTTAGCCTTCATAATATATATATATATATATATATATATATATATATATATATATATATATATATATATATATATTAGGGGTACCACCTCTGGTGCAATTGCAGGGACCCACATCCTCGAAGAAGAAAACAAAGAGCATTCAGAGAAGATCTTGTGGATTCTCACTGAATACTTTAATCTTTTCTTCCCCTACCACCTCTATTATTTTTTTTGTATTTTTTGTTTTATTTTGTTTTATTTTATTGCAATATAATATTGCAATATTATATATATATATATATATATATATATATATATATATATATATATATATATATATATATATATATATATATTCCTGAATTAATGCGCACTGGTTTATATTCCAAAATATAAACCAGTGCGCTAACCCCCCCCCCCTTCCCCAGAAAAAAAACATAAATTTTCACGTCTTCTCAAACGAGAAAAGCAGTTAGAAAGTAGCAAGGACGGAGGTAAAAGGTCTCTGTGTGCACTGGAACATAATTTTTTTTTTTATATATATATTTTTTTTGTGTGTTTGACTGGCAATGCAAACCGCACTTGGCTGTGACGAGTGTGCAGAGGTCAGAGGAGAGCACCAGGCCTGACGGCGATCCAAAACGCTACATGACACTCCCGACTTTAATTAAAAGAAACTGCCTGTTGCCAGGGGGGAATAACTAAATATTAGACGATCAACAGTGCATCTGCAGAAGCGATTGGGGGGAAGGGAAGGGAGGGGGGAGAGTAGAGGGGGAGGGATTGGGTAGGGGAAGGGAAGGGAAAGGGGGGGAGGAGGAGGGGGGGAATTTGTCTGGGGTTAAAGGCCAGGAATTATAATAGAAACCTGTATTCTGCCTCGGAGTCTTTTTAATCAGGTCTGCTGTGTTTTTTTGTTTCATATAATTCTGTTCAACTGTTGATTATTATAATGATTATTTATGTTATTTATTGATATAATTATAGTCTCTCTCATCTCTCCGCCCTCCCTCCCCCTTTCTCCTTTCTCCTCCCACCTCTCTCTCTTCTCCTCCAATCTCTCCCTCCCTCGACGCCCACTCTTCTCATCTTCCCTCCCTCCCCTCTTGCCTTCTCTCTTCGCCTGTCTCCTGCCTCTCACTTTCCTGCTCCTTAAGCATTCCCCCTCTCTCCCCAGCCCCCAGCATCCTTCTTCCCTCCCCTCTCCTTCCTCTCGTCTTCACCCTCTCGGAAAATTTAATGTTACGAAGCACTGAACAATAGCTAAACTCTACGGAAAACAAATTCCTGATGTCAGGCCTCAAAAATTGCAAAGGGGGTCGCTATAGATTCCGATATTTCTTAAAGGATGGGACTGGGGCCGACCCTGACTGCTGGCCTGTTATACTCAAATACTCTCATGTGTCATCTTGAAAAACTTGAAAGTGTCATCTTTCTTTGGTCAGCTTAAAAGGAAAGATATATATATATATATATATATACTTAAGGGGCTAAATTACATATGCACGCAATATGTAAAAGCACACTTTTACATTTTACATGTATAACATATAAATATTAATAATGTTATTTTATGGTATTATTAATATTATCCCATAAAAATGTGCCTTTCCACCACTAGGCATCTCAGCCACCATTACTCTATTGTTACACCTCAACTCTTTGGGTCTTCAGCCACCCCTTAGGTCCCATTTTTCTCTGATCCACCATTACGCTGATATCCCCCCCCCCCCATTCATCCACCACTAATTATAGTGTGACTAGCATACACTGATAGTATATATATATATATATATATATATATATATATATATATATATATATATATATATATATATATATATATATATATATATATATATATATATATATATATATATATATAAATACGTGCATATATTGTCAGTGTGAATATAAGCCTTGTGGGGACCCAAGTGCTGATTAACCTGTTCTACCCAACACTGCTCTCTGCTTGTCCTGCCTCTAGTCTTCCTTGACCTGCCTCTAGCCTTCCTTGACCTGCCTCTAGTCTTCCTTGACCTGCCTCTAGTCTTCCTTGACCTGCCTCTAGCCTTCCTTGACCTGCCTCTAGTCTTCCTTGACCTGCCTCTAGCCTTCCTTGACCTGCCTCTAGCCTTCCTTGACCTGCCTCTAGTCTTCCTTGACCTGCCTCTAGCCTTCCTTGACCTACCTCTAGCCATCCTTGACCTGCCTCTAGCCTTCCTTGACCTGCCTCTAGTCTTCCTTGACCTGCCTCTAGCCTTCATTGACCTGCCTCTAGCCTTCCTTGACCTGCCTCTAGCCTTCCTTGACCTACCTCTAGTCTTCCTTGACCTGCCTCTAGCCTTCCTTGACCTGCCTCTAGCCTTCCTTGACCTGCCTCTAGTCTTCCTTGACCTGCCTCTAGCCTTCCTTGACCTGCCTCTTGTCTTCCTTGTCCTGCCTCTAGTCTTCCTTGACCTGCCTCTAGCCTTCCTTGACCTGCCTCTAGTTTTCCTTGACCTGCCTCTAGTCTTCCTTGACCTGCCTCTAGCCTTCCTTGACCTGCCTCTAGCCTTCCTTGACCTGCCTCTAGCCTTCCTTGACCTGCCTCTAGCCTTCCTTGACCTGCCTCTAGTCTTCCTTGACCTGCCTCTAGCCTTCCTTGACCTGCCTCTAGTCTTCCTTGTCCTGCCTCTATTCTTCCTTGACCCTCCCTGACACACTACTGTCCCTCCTTGACCGAACCCTAGCCCATCTTCACCCCACCATTAACCTACCTTGACCGCCACCACCCCCTCCATGACCCATCACTGCCTCCCCAGCCCTATCCCCCCCTCACTATCCCACCTTGACCCACCTTTGCCTGGCACCAACTAGCTATCCTTGCTCGACCACAGAGCCGAGAGCTTGCCCATAAAGCTAACAATGGAAGCTTTGATATATCAAGACTCTCGATAATGAATTTATGACCTGAGGTGAACATTAATTTCCTCGTAAAGTTGATGTATGAACAGGTGGGGCGTGGGTCACGGAACTGTGGGGCGTGGGGGGGAGGATATAGGCGTGTGGGCGTGGGCGTATATGTCATGGAACTGTAGGGCACGGGAGGACATAGGCGTGTGGGCGGGGGATTAGGTCATGGAACCAACGCGAGGAAGGCGTGGGGGAAGGGCGCAGTTGGGTGGGCGTGGGTCATGGAGGGTGTGGACGGAGAGGGATAGAGGTTCCGGAGAGGGGGGAATAGTGGGGGAATGGGTTGCTGTATTGCTAGCCGTGGGGTGTGGGCACGCGGTTGTGGAGTGTGGGGAAGGAGCCAGGAAACAGTGGGTGGTGTGGAGGGGGGAGGGGATGTAACTGTGGGTTCGTCGGCGAGGTTGTCGTGGGTAATGGAGGGCGGGAAACATGGAGTACGTCGATCGTGATGGGCGCGCCCTGGAGGATGAGAGGTCCTTGGTGGGTGTGGGTATGTGTGGTGGATGGTCTACACTGGGTACTGGGAAGGATATGGTGGGGTGTGGGTATGTGTGGTGGATGGTCCACAATGTGTACCGGGAAGGATATGGTGGGTGTGGGTATGTGTGGTGGATGGTCCACAATGTGTACCGGGAAGGATATGGTGGGTGTGGGTATGTGTGGTGGATGGTCTACAATGGGTATTAATATAGTGGGTGTGGGCATGGCCGATACAAGGTTCCTGGTGGACGGGGGTGAGGTGGGTAGGGGGGGGAGGATGAGTAATGGAAGGTTCCTGGTGAATTGGGGTGGATTGGGGGGCATGGGTAATAGAGGGCTTTTTATTAGCGTGGGCATCTGGGCAAGCACCTTTGTGTTGGATATATATTAAATAAAGGGGGTATTATTAGTCCATACACCCAGGGTAGGGAGTTGGTTTTGTTAAATTTGGATAAATGTGAAGAATTCCATCTTGACGATAAAAGATATGGGTGTAGGTACTACTGTAGGTGTGGGTGTAAGGGTGAGAGTGGGTGTAGTGTGAGTGTAGGTGGAAGTGTGACTTTGGATGTAGGTGTATACTCACCTAGTTGTAATTACACGGTTGTGCTTGCGGGGGTTGAGCTTTGGCTCTTTGGTCCGGCCTCTCAACTGCCAATCAACTGTAGTACAGATTCTTGACCCTATACTAGGCTCTATTATATCAACATATGAAACTGTGTATGGAGTCAGCCTCAACCACCTCACTGCTTAATACATTCCATCTGGTAAGTACTCTGGCACTGAAAACAATTATGTCTAATTTCTCTGTGGCTCATCTGAGTACTAAATTTCCACCTGTGTCCTTTTGTTCGTGTTCCACCCGCGCTAAAGAGTTTGTCTATGTCTACCCTGTTAATTCCCCTGAGAATTTTGAAGGTGGTTATCATGTCCCCCCTTACTCTTCTGTCTTCCAAGGACGTGAGATTTAGTTCGCTTAGCTTTTCTTCGTAGCTCATACCTCTCAGTTCTAGGACTAGTCAGGTGGCATACCTCTGAATCTTCTCTATATATGCCGCTGATGATATCCTTTTGATGTTTGCTTCTGGGGACAAGTTCGATCTGATATCAACCCCTAGATCATTCTCTCTATTTGACTCTTGCAGGATTTCACCTCCCAGATGGTACCTTGTGTTCAGCCTTCTGCTCCCTTCGCCTAATTTCATTACTTTACACTTTCCTGAGTTGAACTTTAGTAGTCATTTTCTAGACCATTCCTCCAGTTTGTCCAGGTCATCGTGTAGTCTCTGTCTATCTTCATCTGTCTTGATTCTTCTCATAATTTTTGCATCATCAGCAAACATTGAGAGGAATGAGTCTATGCACTCTGGAAGATCGTTTACATATTAGAAACAGGATTGGTCAAGTACAGAGCCCTGTGGGACTCGGCTGGTGACATCTCGCCTCTCTAATGTCTCCCCCCCCTACCCCATTCGCAGTTACTCGCTATTTCCTGTTGCTTAGACACTCCCTTATCCACTGGAGCACCTTACCTTATATTCTGTCCTGTTGCTCCAACTTTTGTAACAACCTTTTGTGGGCTGTTACATAAGTTGGAGCAACAGGTGTTGCTGCGTATGTGTAGGTGTAAGGGCAGGTGTGAGTGTTGCTTTAAGTGAGGATGTAGGTGGGAGTGTAAGCGCGGGTGAGGGTGTTGGTATGGGTGTGGGTTCAGGTACTGTTGCTGAAGCCATTAGTGTCCAAGATAGTGTTCTCCTCCGTCCATCACCTTTTCCTTGCCTGTCTCTCCATTTCGCTATCTTCATCTTTATTTCCATCCAGCTCATGTAATTTTCCAAGTAAGCCTCTTCAGCGCCATTATTTATCTTCAATTTTGTCTTTGAGGTGCAATATAGGATTTCAGCCTGTACACTTCCACCAAATCTCTCTCAGCATCTTGGAAGCAACGCACTCTCATGAGGTTAACATTGGATCCTCTCTCCTAATGCATGTGATCTCTTGATGTTATCGCTGCTGGACCTGGCATTCTCTCTGAATTTATATCGCTCTCATGTGCGCTTTCATTAATTGTGAGTTTGTAATTAAAGTTCAACATCCATCCTCTTGTTTTCACATTGCTGATAATAACTTGGATCTACATGGTGCTATTCTCAGGGTTCGTGTTTCCCGGTTTAGCCTCTGTGAGTTCTAGCATTCTCAGACGCAGTCCATTGTCACTATCTGCCACCTGCCTCTGCTCTTAACTCAGTTTATTTCTCAGCTTTGCTAAATTCTTTTATGCTGTTCTCTTTCACGCTCTCTCTGTAAAAGCCTATCAGTTTCCAATTGCTGGTAAACATCCACATCTGGCACTCAATTTTTCCTGGGTTTTTCTCGCCCAGGCTTTGATAGTGCTTCAGTTTTCCAATTTTGGAGCTCACGCTTTCAATTAGTGTTCATTAATTCCTCTGTCTGTTCTTACCAGTCGTCTTTTATCAGCTTCATTTCTTTTAGGATTTTGTCAGACTTTCCTCTGCTTGTTTATTTGCTCAATCATGTCAACACACTCCTCTTGAATGCATATATTTCGCTCCATTCATTATCTTTCCAATGTTATTATTTTCTTGTCTCCCCCTGATAAGCTGTATTTTCCTGAGGTGCGCATGATATGAAAAAGCAGGGATTCATGTAGATATACATTGAAACAGAAAGTTAATTCAAAAGCGAGATAGAGATGACTATAGAAAAACAGAGAGAGAGAGAGAGAGAGAGAGAGAGAGAGAGAGAGAGAGAGAGAGAGAGAGAGAGAGAGAGAGAGAGAGAGAGAGAGAGGAGAGAGAGAGAGAGAGAGAGAGAGAGAGAGAGAGAGAGAGAGAGAGAGAGAGAGAGAGAGAGAGAGAGGAGAGAGAGAGAGAGAGAGAGAGGAGAGGAGAGATGAGAGAGAGAGAGAGAGAGAGAGAGTGGACAGAATCATTTGAGAAAGTTTCTTTTCTCCTGATACCTGTGTTCACCTTGTAGTAAATAGGTATCTGGGAAGTTAGCTGTTGAAGGCTGCTTCCTGGGAATTTGCAGTAGGCCGAGTAGATAAAACACACCCCCACGCACCCACACACACACACATGGAGCAAATGGGCACAGATTCTTTCATCTTATAGCTGCCACCGGCTGCATCCTGGGGATGTGTGTGTGTGTGTGTGTGTGTGTGTGTGTGTGTGTGTGTGTGTGTGTGTGTGTGTGTGTGTGTGTGTGTGTGTGTGTGTGTGTGTGTGTGTGTGTGTGTATGTGTGTGTGTATGTGTGTGTGTGTGTGTGTGTGTGTGTGTGTGTGTGTGTGTGTGTGTGTGTGTGTGTGTGTGTGTGTGTGTGTGTGTGTGTGTGTGTGTGTGTGTGTGTGTGCGTGTGTGTGTGTGGTGTTAAATATGTAATAGATGTGACAGGGGGAAAAATATACCCGGAATCAGTGCATTAAATAACCGACGGTTAGAAAGGCGGGGTCCAGGAGCTAACAGCTCGATCCTGTAGACACAAATAATAAATAAACTGTTAATAATCCACTTTTGAAGTTGTGACATAGTACAATGTTTCCGCGGGTGCCTGATGAGTCTATTTCCCTTCTCGATTAAACTCTGAACAGGATTCGTGCTTAAAGCACTAGCACTCCACTCATGGTATCCTTAAGGTCTTCATCCTATGAAGACCTTAAGGATACCATGTGTGTATCCCATCACACCTGACCCTAGGTCTAGTCTCCCGTGATTGATTGGTGTTGTGCTTAAGATCTATCAACGTCTGGAGGGATATTAAGGTCACAACAATTGCTCCTTGACAACTATTAAGTATACTCTAGTCACGAACGTAGTTCACGACTATGGTAAACTCACCAAAAATATATACACTTAGAGGCGTCTCCTGATCTGGTATAAATTGCTTTAATTGGGAAATATAGTACAAGTTATGTTGACCAGACCACACACTAGAAGGTGAAGGGACGACGACGTTTCGGTCCGTCCTGGACCATTTTCAAGTCGAACTCACAATCGACTGGAGAATGGTCCAAGACGGACCGAAAAGTCGTCGTCCCTTCAATTTCTAGTGTGGGGTCTGGTCAACATTCTTCAGCCACGTTATTGTGACTCATCGCCTGCATAATACAAGTTATGACAGCAAGGCGGGCTGTCCGCCTTGCTGCCACGATATGTGTGTGCGTGTGTGTGTATATGTAGCTATGCTATACTTGATCTCTCTTGTCAAGAAATAGAATGAAGTGGAATTAGTAAAAGAAAGCCC